TGGGCATATTTTGAAGTCGATTTCGGGCTTTTTTTACTCCTAAAATGTCGCGGTTAGTTGCCGGTTGAGCGCTTTTGAAGTGGGGCAAAACATTATGAGAATTTTCGTTGTTTTGGCGTAGGCTTACTTAGCTTCGATTGGGATTGGTTGTGCTTATCTCGCATTTCCGCCGACTTAGCTTTGTGATCGCTGAACTTAACTCAACTTAGCCTCGGCTGGGCTTAGAATCTCCCATAATTCCTAATACCACTAGATGGACCGCCAAAACTTTATTTGCACACACTAACTTCTTTTTCAGCCACCCGGGAAGCTGCTGACCGCGCAGCCGTATCAGCTGTTCAGCGGCCCGTCGCTGCTCATCGGCGAGACGCTCATGGCCAACCGAAATTTGCCCAACAAATTCTAAGGTGCGTCCGGATTGCGCGTTGCATCAAATATTTTGTTCAGGTTCTGCAACGTCGTCAAGGGGTCCAAGGAGTCTTCACAATTCAACAACAACGCTAAATGCGACATCTGCGACGACGTTCGGCCGGCTCTTGTCGTTCCCCAACCAAAAACAACCTATGTAATTCGTCTCGTGGCCCCGTTTCTATCCGTCCTCTCCCTCATTTACGATGCAACGACACACAAATAATGCATACATATAAGCACTTGTGGGTACACTCGCGTACACCGGGGTGTTCTTTTCGGAGTGGATGTGTGTGCATGGGTGCGTGTCTTTTCGTTGTTTCACCACCAACACCATCCGCTCCGTCCAGATACCCCGGCTTCTTCTATTCTCGCATGCTCCGTGTTTTGTTTTGTTTTTCTGATTTCTAGTGGCACCCCGCTCCCCCTTCCCCCCTGTTCCCTCCGGGTTTCTGATGATCATCGCGTGGGTGTATGTGTGCATTTGCTGGCACTTTTTCTCGGCTTTCACGGTAATGTGTAAGATTCCCCGCGGGCAGTTTTTACAAGATTCCCGTTTCCTTCTTGGGTCTTCCGAAGTGTGATGCTTGGCCGAGGGGCGGAGCGGAGGAGCCGAATTGGCGAATCCCGCCAACCCCCGCGATCGGCTCGCCTTTACTTGGTCGGTTCCCCGCTTATTTGACTGTAATAAACATGAAAATCTTTGCGGACAAGATCAATGCCATTGTGGAAGGAGGTTTCCTAGGTCTATTTATGTTTTTAAATTGGCGCACAATTAAAGTAAGCGCACTTCCAATTTTTCCATGCGTGACAGTTAAAGTAAGAAAAAAATAGTATGCGCTTGAGGAAAAAACAACAAAAACAAGGCAGTTAGCGAATGTCGCACGGCTCGCACGTTTGTATTTCTATGGATTTTTTACAAGCATATTTATTAATTTATTTGCGTCAAAAACGATCGAAAGGATCGTGAATTTTGTTTCTTGTTATCCGGTGTTTCCAAAATTAATGTTACTCGAAAAAACACGATCGAACAGATCGTGAATTTTTGTATTGTCGGACGGTCTTCGTAGAATATTTATTCCTCGTAAAATACGTTCCAGATGATCGTGAATTTTTGTCCTGTAATATGGTATTTCTAAAAGGTTTTACAGATATTTCAAGTCGATTTTCCGACCATAAATTTCGATATCCGACAATTTGGCCCGGGCGTCGGCTCCCTCATTTTGGTTGAATGGGCGCTGGTTGGGGCCCGGAGGCTGGGCCCTGATTCCTCCGAGGGCTATATTTTGGCCCTCCAGCTGAAAGTAATCTCCCCCTCGCTGGCCTTCGAGACCGTAACCACGGGATTAGAGGCCCGGCGGCCAGCGGGACACATTTAAGGCTACATTTCGTCCCGCCATTCCCAGGATAAGATATTGGAATGGCGGAGATCTCTGCTGTAACGGAATATTCATTTTCTGAACTTATAGTTTGTCTCGCCTTATCATTTTCAATGGAGAAAATTGGCAGAAACAGATTGTTTCGAAAATACTTGGCATAAAAACGTTACTTTGGGCACTGGTGCTACGTCGTTCGGGTACCACGACCATTCCATTTGAGTTACAAGATAAAGGGGGAATCAAAGTTTTTTATAATAAAAATATTTTTAAATATGGTTTTCTCGGGCGATAGAAAAATCTTGGTATATTTTTCGGCCCCCTATCAAACGGCATTTTCCAAATATCGAAAATACTCAAAACGCCGAAAATTTGTTCCGCCGCCCGTGATTCTAGGTGCTGCCCATAGTTTTCAACGATAGTCTTTATGCTATAAGACTTTTATATTACGTTTTTCGTGCTGTAAAAAAATTTCTTATTATAGGTTTTGAGGTTCTATCGATTTCGTTTTGAAAATATCGAAAATCTCAAAAATTTGGCTTCCCCCGTTATCCTAGGTGCTGCTCATGGATTTTGTTTGATTTTTCTTTATTAAATAAGAAATTTTCCTTACATTTTTATGAGCTTTTTCGATCTAAAAACTGTGTAAAATGTAAAACATGGCTTATAGTTTCCCACGAGGTATCTGATTTCCAAAAAAAAAGAGTTTCATTAAATTGCAACTTTCTGGGCGGTTTAGAAGATAGAATCCGCCTGCGTTTTTCCGTATGGCTCAAAAAAACTGGAAGCCGGTAATTTCAATTAGTGTCTTGTTACCCTCCACCACCCGGCTGGCTGGTTGTTGCTGGCTGGCAGGCCAGGGCCCTGGCCCGCCAGTAAAGTGAGAGGAGCGGCTGTCTCGACGCTTTGTATGCTCCGTTCTCTGCTGCCTCTCCCTTTTCACCACCCTCTCCCTCTCTCTCACTCTCGTCCTTCCCATGGCCCCCCATCGATCGGCGGCGACTCCGCGAGGCTCCTCCGCCCCGTCCGCTCTCTTTTTTCTCCTGGCCGCAGCTTGTTCCTCCCGCATTGTCTTATTGTTAGTAGCTTTTTTGGGAAATGAGAATTGTTGCATTAAGCCGAGTAAGCGTACCTTAAGTATCAAACCTATGTTAAGGAATCATTTGGTGGATTTTAATATGTTTCTTGTCATACTGTTATTAGTCTTTTTCATGGAAAGGTTTTTGCTGGGTTGATGATACCATCTTCTCCCTTTATTAGTAGACCTTATTACTCCCTTAAACAAATGATTAATACGGCTTATTTCCATTCAGTGGTTTAGTCGAAGGTCATTTTGCGAATTTTGTTGCATTTTTTTGGCTATATGGTTAGTATTAATTTTTGCCAATCGGATTCGCTAAAACAATATGACTCGAACATCCTTTTAATATCAGGTTAACAGCTTTCAATCGGTCCGTCAATCCCGAAACATTTTTTCTTTGGGTTTTTTTGCCTATTGTTATAGTTTTTGATAAAACTTCAGCCGAATTAGGTATATTGATGGCTGTATCCTTTTAATTGGTAACTATCTTACAACTTTTCAAAAAACAAACTGATTTCGCGATCGCTTGTTTTGGTTCTTTCGCATTATCGGGGGGGGACAACTTTTTCGCGCAGAATCAAATTTTTAATATAGATATAGAAAGTGTTTCTAAACGAATTTTTACTGTTCCTAAACATAAAAACCTGACAATTTTTTACTAAAAAATACAAAAAGTTCAGATTTTTCCGCCAAAAAGGCTGATTTGCGATCAAAGTTTCACGTAAAAAATTTTTCAGACTTTTTTTGAGTGTTTTACTAATTAAATCTAGTTAAATTTTACTCAAAACATCCTTAAAAATGCCGCGCATAGGATTAGTAGGTATTGCTGTATTATTCGCGCTGGCTCGATCGGAAAATAACCACTTTGATAAAATATTTTCTCTCATAAAGGTAAATAAATTTGGCCGAAACTTCCGGCGATTTACCGAAGCTTTCATTATTTGCAATATTTAACCAAATATTTACTAATGCTAACTACTATCAAATAAACTAGACTGTTGGATAAAACATGTAATTACCATATTTCCGATTACTTTTCCACGGAAATAATCGCCACAAAATACCGCATTTTCAGAAAGCTTGCCGAAGTTAGACCGAAGTTGCCGATTCTCGCCATTCCAACCCGGAAGTGCTACCGTTTATCTTCTTTTTTCTAGCCGAAATCCAGGAAATCTTCAAGCAAAATGGTGGGTTTTTGGGATTATTCGTTGCTGATATTGGAAAATCGATATTGCTTCTAAGCCTTGCCCTTGATGAAACATATTATTTAGTATTAAGTATCAGAAATATTTAATTTTTTGGGAGCCACGAACATGTTTTTTGACTGGATTTAAATATTAATTTTTGATCGGAGATAGTAGGGCCTCGGAATTTTTTTTTAAATCAGGGGTTTTTGCTAAACTTTTTCGCACTTCAATTTCACGCTTAAATTTATGCGTTACAACATTTAGCGCCGTACAGTCAAAAAAATTGGCAATTATTCGGGAGTAGAATCGCAGGTGCCAACAAGGAAAATAAATTAAGTTCTTTGGCATTATCGGGGAACACTTCCTTTCTATCCAATTTTTTATGATATAAATAGAGGAAGTGTTTGTAAACTGATTTTATGACTCCTAAACGTGAAACTTAAAAAATTCGATATTTTGGGCAAAAATGACGTTTTTTCATACAAAATTTCGGATTTGTCCAGATTTTTAGCCAGTTTTTCGGATTAAACAGAGCTAAATCCTACTAACAACACTATTAAAATGGTTTCTAGAAAGTCGCGAGGAATTTCTAGATTTTCTAGCCGACGAAAAACGTCGCCCACCCCCGATAATGCCAAAGAACCGGACTTTAGCTAGGTGCGTTCCCGAAAGCAAAAAAGTGACGCGAATTCCTAGCCATTTTATAGCAAACAGCTCATTAAAATAGGCCATAAACTGGCCGGTCGGGTAGCAACAGCCGGCGGATTTCAGCAAATTGAGGGTAGCATTTTTGGGTGTGATGCGGGGCTAGGGTGGAAAATAGATAATTCCTTATCAAATTGGCCACACCCCCCTGCCCTTGTCTGAATTGGCTTCCGAAGGAATTATCGATCGATTTTTAGGGCAACGAGAGCAGTCTGCCGATGGAAATGTGCAGCAATTGTGAGTCTCTTCTTCTTCCCGACTTTCATATTCCGAAAAACTTCTATTTTATTAAAAAATTTCTAACGCTAAAATTGGCTTTAAATTCGGTCTAATAACCATGCAAAAACCGGAGATCGTAGGTGAGAAAATTTCAAAATAAAAAAAAAAGATGATAGTGGCACCAATAAATTACCAATAGCAGATTTTTCCAGAAGGCTATAAATTTTGGAACACATCTTTTTGTTTCTTAAAAAGCCTAACAAGCAATTTCATAGTAAAGCTCTTTATATGTTTTTCAAAATTTTCTAACCTTGAAATTAGCTTTAGATTGATTTAATTGACCATGCAAAAGCCGGAGATTGTAGGTGACCACATTTTCGATGCAGATTATCAGTTCTGGATTTTTCACCAAGGCTAGCAAACTTGGAACACGTATTTTTGTTTCTAGATTTGAACAATTTACAGCAAAACCCTTATATTTTTTTACCAAAAAGTTTCGAATCCGTAAATTGGCTGTGAACGTGGTTAATTCACCATGCAAAAACCGGAGATTGTAGGTGAGGAATTTTGAAAATAGAATGGCATTCGTCCGTTCGTCATTCGTCATTGAGAGAAGCCGGATTTGCCACTAGTCGCCAAAATCTCGAACACATTT